TCCCCCTTTTAACAGCAGATAGGCTATAACTCTAGCCTGCTTCAACCATCTCAGTGTCACCAGGAGAAGTTAAACTCAAGCTCAGGAAGACACCCAGAGGGCTGGTTAACCCTTCCTCTCCACCTTTCCCCCATTACCTGGCACCACCTGAGACCAGACTGGAAAGCTCCCCTCCAAGATATGGGCTTGTGAGGACCTGCTTTGCATTGCTGGGCCAGGCATAGCCTGCTGCTGAAATAAGAAACCCGACACATTTCAGATGTGCACCCAAACGCCCTGAAGGAGACAGACCCTTTCAGGAAAGCAAAATACGATGAAAAGCACATCAGGGAAGATTTATAGACAAAGCAGCTGTGAGCTCTGGTTCCAAACCAGCCTGCTTTTCACAGGCTGGCTGAAGCCAGAGGGAGCAGGGCTAATGGGAGAAAAGCCCTCCCGTAGAGAAGATTGAGTTCGGTGGTAGGGGGCGCTGTGACACTGATGGAGCCATCAGTTACTAGAGACACAAAACCAAGGTTCTGACCACCCACGGTCATGGCAATTTTCACAGGAGTAGGGCTTTGATGCCGCATGGCTCGGGTCTCTCTCCGTAGAGGAATGTGAAGGTTTCCTGGGGGGAGTGTGACGAGATGTTACTATGGGAGGTAGCGTGAGTGGGTCCTGAACTGGAAAAGCAAAGAGGAAGGGTTCCGTTTGAAACGCCCTGCCAAGACCAAGATCACAAGCACGTCCCACTCTCCAGTCTCCGTCGTGCCCCAGCACTCGCATTCAGTGTCTGGGAAAGAGGGGTGGATGAGGGAACCGAACAGTCCAGCAGAGGGTTATTTGTTTCCCTTGAGGGGAGCACGAACGGAAGAGTCGGGGAGATCGCAAGCTAATGCCTGCTGGACATTTCCCCCACATTGCTGTAGGAGGCCCAACAGCCATCAAGTCGCAAGAACGGCCAACCACCAGACTGAATGCGTGGCAGGTTACCGGTTAGGGAGGGCTGCTGGGGTTTTCACTAGGAGTAATGTGGGGAGATTAAGAAAAGGAAGCATTAGGCTGAATACAAGGAACATTTTCCTAAAGGCAAACAGTGTTAGGCTGCTGACATCTCTTCGCGAGTCCTAGGTGGTCAGATGGTCACAGGGCAGTAGAGAGCCATTGGAAAGTGGGTGACAGTCTATCCAGGAGATCTGGATTCAGGGCCCTCGCTCCTGGGCTAACGGGTGCTGGGGAAGTTTCTCCATCCCAGGGTTTGAGCAGCACTTCAAGTTGGTTGAGCAACACCTCTGGACAACCGAAGAGCAGCGCTGGTGGAGAGTATTGCTAGCTTTGCTCAGCTGCTGGGGTGACTAGAAAATGTCTCCTCATCAAGGGCTTTAAAGGAGAGGAAAGGTAATGGTTGGGGGGGGGGGAGAAATCTCACAGGGCAGCCTGTCTGACCCCAAAGTCATCCACCTTTGCCTTGCTCTGAAATACAGAGATGCATATTTGAGTAACTACAACAGACTAAACCAAATAATTTAAACCAGTTAAAGAGTCAGAACATTTTCCTCACACTAAGTGAATAATTTATGGCCAGAGCTACCAAAAAAAAAAAAAAAAAAAAAAAAAAAAAAA